CATCTTAGATTATGGCACATTTCATCTAATCCCATGTAACAAAGGTGCTTTGGCAGGACTAGATAGGATTCAGTCTGAGTGCCTTCGGATCATCTCTGGGTGTATGAAGTCTTCCCTCGTTAACGCGTTGCAGGTCGAGTGCGCCGAACCACCCCTAGCCCTGAGACGACAATATCTAGCTTCACGATTTACGTCTAGGATTATTTGTAGATCCTCCCATCCCCTTATCCTAAAACTGAACGAATTAAATAACATATGCAGATCCTCAAGCTACTGGAAAAACAAGGAACTCCCCCTAATCCTAAAATACTTTCGTATTAATAAAAATTTTGAATGTCCGACCGTCCAATATCCCAAACTACCCCTTTTTAATTTAGAATATGAAGTTTTATGTTACACACCAAAAATTTTCTACAACATCTGCATATCTAAAAATTCTCCTTCGGCGGACTCCACCTTCAACGCGGTGGTGGATGAGCGATGGAATGAATTTCAGAAATTTTTCACTGATGCTTCAAAATTCTCTGACTCTAGTTATACTGGAGCTGCGGTTTACTACCAAAGCTCCAGAATCATCCTACAATTTAAGTGCCCCAAGGAGTCTTCTGTGTTTACGGGCGAATGTGTGGCTTTACTGGAAACTTGTCTTTTTATAGAATCACACCATAACATTGACAAAGCCGTAATTTTCACAGACTCCCTTAGCTGCTTACAAGCTTTGGTCCAAAACCCCTTCAGAAGTAAATTGCACAGCCCCCTAATTTTAAAAATTAAAAAATCCCTGCTTTCGTGTCAAAATAATCGAAAAGAAGTCCAGCTAGGTTTGGATACCTAGTCATTGTGGCATCAAAGGTAACGAGTGTGCTGATACCTTGGCCAAAGACGCTTGTACGTCATCCACAGCTGACCTGTCATATAATTTTAATCAGGGGTACGACCTAATTAACCTGCCTAAAGCAAGTCTTCAATGTGCTTGGCAGGAACAGTGGAATACCACTGGTAAAAAGAAGGGTAAGTTCCACATACAGAATCATCTGTGCACGACTTCCACTCGCAACTTGTTTTTTTTTTTTTTATTAAGATGTTTAATATTTTTAGTGATACATTTCATTAAAAAATACGAGTATCACTATTTATTTTTAAAATAGAATCGACTTCATACTTTAAAATATCATGAATAATACTAACATAAATATAATTAGGAACAGAATATAGACCTACACATATACTTCATACATATATTTTATATAATTCATAATAATATAAATACAAATACAAACATAGTTTTGTAAATATTATGCCTAGTAGAAATGAGATAATAATTTTTATGATTCTGCCTGATTTAATATGAAATCGCGCAACTCACTTTTAAAAAGAAGCCGACTGGCGGACATTCTGATGTCTGTGGGGAGTGCATCGGGGATTTGACAAAAAAGGAAGAGTGGATGATGTCAGTGTGATGAGCAGGACACATAAGTAACTTTTAAATGACTCGTACATAAGAACTAAAAGTGTCAGTGAGATCGCCATCAACCATCACCCATCGCCCCAAGCTATGGGTGATTGCAACAAAGAAAACAAGGTAGTCAGAGCACGGACATCTCTACGCTTTCGAATAGGCATCCATTTCAAAAGGGAGCGATGGGCAGACACGTGGTCATATTTACGGAGATTGAAAATTAATCGAATGGAGTTAGTAAGAGTAGATATGCATTCAGATCGAGGTAGCACCCATTACCATAGCCGATTATGGGGAAGATTTAGGTCTGCACAAGCATTGCCTTGATTTTGCTAGGTAGAAAGTTCTTTAAGCGATACAGGGCACGCAACACTCCAATAATTTTTTGACAAATTGTAGTCATTTGAATATGCCAGTTCAAGTTAAGAACAACGTGTAGTCCCCGGTCTGAAACACTATCGCTAAAGGGTATTGAGGAGCCGTCATACAGGTTAGTACGGAGATTAGTGCTATCGATCCTTCTCATTATTACGCGGCTGCCTACAAGTATGGCCTTACATTTCGCCGGATTTACATTAATGCCAAAATTTTTAGACCATACTAGTATTGCATCAAGATCCCTATTTAGTGCATCAATAGCTATGTTCAATCCATCGACGTTTCAGCATATAACTCTAAATCATCAGCATACAAATTATACGGTTTAAAAAGATTATTGTGTACAATAATAGACGCAGAAGTAAAAATATTGAAACATTTCTCAAAAAGGTCTTATTTAATTGAAATATTATTGTCACCCTATTAGAAAGGGACAAATAGCCTCTGTACTTGATATCTCGCTCGGCTTGCTTTTCAGCTGGGAGTACTCTGTCCTGTATAAGTTCTAAGTCCATGAGTATTGCTTTTACCTTTGTTTTTTTAAGCTGGCATTACTATTTCGTTTGTTATCATTATGGAAGTCACTCGCATAAGATTTCTTTTGAATTATTTACTGTAAACGAAATTAAAATTAAATAGGTATATAAACCTAGGGTATGTATAGGTTTTTGTTTCAACTATTTCTTTATCATGGCAAAATAAAAGAACGAGACCCATGGCCTCCGTTGCTGCTATTACTCTCGGCTCGGATTAGCTTCTAACTAAATAAATTTAATGAATATGATAAATAAATAAATTCTAAGGTTATCAATTTGAATGAAGACGTTTACTACTTTTTTTCTATTTAAAATGAAAGAATCGACGTAATTACAAAAATACTGTGAAAAAAAATCTTAAATATTTACATAAATAAAAAAGTTGTGGGAGTTTGAAGTTGCGCTCCCTAGAACAATTTCACTTCACTCAGTACCTCAGCGTGTGTCTTAAAACCACGAATGTCAATTTAAACTGGATTGTGCAGTGTTTCATTAAAAACGGGCAGAGTGAGAGAGTAAATTAGTAACTCTTCATCTCTGTCTTAGTAGTTTTGTAGGATGTCCACGCGTTTTTAATAATTTCATAAATAGGTAATATTTAATAATGTTTACATGACCAAATTTAAACATTTACAGATATAATTTTATAAATTTTTACAGATATTATGAATGATGATGTTAGAAATTTAACCGATAAATTAGTTTTTATTTATCGGTAAAGATATTTATTTTGTAGGAAATAAAATCATCTATAATGTATAAATCAATTAAAAGGATAGAAATGTTTTTTTTTCCTATTAATTGTATTAGAATACAACGGATCACTTTGCCTGGTATTATTGTCCTCCATTTTTCAGCTAGATTTTTATCCTTTAGGATCCTAGAAACATAAGAGCAATTTTGTCATGGTCAGCATAAGAAAATTATTACTTTATAAATATTTATCCAAACTAATGTGTAGGCCATTCCGATATTTTCCAAAACATAATTAAGCTAGTTCTCGTTTTTCATTTTCCAAATAACTTTGTACCTACCGTGAAAATATTGATAACGAAGAATGGCGGGTAGCGTAAGTAAAACTTATAAATGTTTATAATATATTCGTATGAATATTAATTTAAATCAAAGCCTCTTTGATATGGTTTTGTTTCTTGATCGTAGACACCCTATTTCATCACTGTTTAATAAATAAGGAAAACAGCTTACCTGTGGAATGTGAAGTTACATTCGTGATACCATTCATTTTTGCAATCAGCCAAGCAAAACAATATACCATTTTGATGTAAATAATCGAATTAGTAAGTCAAAACACAAATAAACATTAAACTTTAACATTGTTTATGTTGTCACATCGAGCGGCCATATTAATTTATAATATTGCTACTTAGATGTAACGAAAAACTACTAACACGACATCGGTTTACATTATAATATTAATTAATTCACACTTTTACTTAAAAAACATATCAACTATGTCTATTCAATATATTTACTAATAGATAATAATTAAAATTACCTAGTGATGTCTTTAAAAAATCAATAAAATCTCCTAATTGCCAATAACAATTATTTAATTTTCCAATGGCAACTCGTTAGACAAGGACCTACTACTACAAATCTAATATCTCTAGTAGACCGTTTTTCTACTCTGAAATGTGACATAGAAAAATAAACCTTATTTTATATTAGATAAAGTGTAAGTTTGATTTTAAGAAATATATCAGTACGCAATCGAGTTTAAGTTGACATTCGTGCTTAAAACTGCTGAGTATGATCGCAAGGATGCGGCTCAGTAGCCAAGTATTGTCAATCCGTTTTTGAGCATCGCTGGCATCTTACAGTCGGGTTTTGTTTATTACTCGATGGAAGGGGTTAACTCAAGAAATCAAAAAATCTTCTATTGTCTCTATGTATTAAAGTACGATGATAAAAAACCACAAACAAAAATTGAATAAAGAAAAAATATCTTAAATCGTTTCAGAGAATGCGTCTACTTATAAAGTCTCAATACTTGTAGGTCCTAATCACAAAGAAAGGTACCTAAACTAGTTCCGAAATACAATGGCTGTGACATACTGGCGGACGCACAGACAAACAGACATGACGAATATTTAACTTTTCGTATTTGTATTGATATCTAAGTTTCAAACTATGCAAATTTCAGATTTTTAATATGTTAGTTAAAAGGAACGGAAATAACTTTCTTTGGTCCATTGGTTTTCTACAAAAGTTAACTTCTGCTAGAGTCGAAACTAGTGAGGTGCTTTTTTTTAAATACTTCCACATTGTGTTTCTTCGTATTCATATTAAGATGACAAGTTTTTAGTATAAAATAACTTTGTGCAGTAATTAAAATAAGTTTATAAGCAAAACATCGGTCATACGTTCATGGAGCTGACATAAATAAATAATTTCGTTCGAGAATATATTTTTTATGAACGGTATTTATTTGCTTTTTTTATTCAGTTTTAATATTTTGAAAGTACTTTCAAATAGTTCCAATTATTGTTAAAAAAATAAAATAAGTATATGAAATTATAAATTTAAAATTTTGTTGAACTGTTTTCACACTGAATATTTTTGACAGTCAGAGATTCTACAACACAATTTTTTCTGACGTGCTTGCCAAACGACGTGAAGAGAACGGACACGACGACTCGATCGTTTTTCGGCTATTGAATAATTAGTGCACTGATTGTGTTTCACATGATAGAAATTATAAAATATAACAAAATAGAACATTACATAACGGGTATTGTGACTTAAAACCAAAAAGTCAACATGGGAAAGGCTAAAAAAGGGAAGAAGAATCAGACCGCTGATGACGGGTAAGTCCTATTTTAGCAGTTACATTTTCATAGCCATTTCATTCAAAGAATGTAATTACTTAGTGTTTTCATTTTCAGTGATAGTGATGCTGAGACTACAACCATTGAAAGTGTTAAACCAACCACTCAAAGTAAAAAGTAAGTGTGAATAATTTTTAGGTTAGGTAATTGAAGCTTTTTGGGACTTTTGGAATCAGATGAGGAATTTTTCCCTTATTTAAGTTTAAGTACATTCACTTGCATTTAGTATAATTTAACTTTTTACGTTTTCTGCTAAATCTGTAAGAGAAACACATTAATATATTTATTATTATACACCAACGCCATCACCATTCTAATTCCCAACGTTTTATCAAATATATAACATGATTATGTCAAGGTGTAATATTTAGTCTAAACAAATGCAACTATTTTTCTAGAAAAGTCATAGATTCTGATAATAGTGAAGATGAAAAACCTAAATCAAAATCTAAGCATAAAAAATCTGTTGATGAAGATGTGAAAGAAGTCACAAAAAATATAAAAAATGTTTCTATCAGCAAGTCTCAAAAGAAGAAAGATGACAGTAGTGAAGGTAAGTAGATTAATATGTCTTATATATGTATGAAACATAATATTGTCACCTTTTTAAACTATGTTATGATGGTAAAATGTTACCAATTTTTTACTTAATTATTAAAAGTTGTAAAAGATAATAGCTTATACTGATAGTTGGTTTACTGATGTATTGATACATGGATTGATAATATAGCATTACTACTGGTGAGAGAATTTCTAAAATTGTTTAAATAGTTTTCAAAACATACATTCTATAGCTTATCAGGTTATAGAAATATGTCACATTTCACTACTTATTGTAAACTTTAATGCTTTGAGGGTAGAGCAATCATGTGTACATACAGAGATACTAATCGTTTCTCTTTAATATACGAACCTTTGTATTTTTTTTTTTGAAACATGAAATCTCTTCATTATAAATATTATTCTGAAATCTGTGTAAGTAAAGTTTGAATTCTACAATACAAATTCTACTTTCCATACCCAACATATCTTACATAAATGTCCAAGTTTCACAAGATAAAATGAATTTTATTATTTGAAGTTTCAGTCAGAGTTGTCCTACAGTAACACTATCAATAGTTTAGGGATGAAGAATATTCAAACAATTTTTTTTTTCTTTTGCATTATCAATAAAGCTAAAATGTCATATGAGCACGATGCTTTTGTGCATTTTCTACATAACTATGATGTAGCAAGCTCCTACTCCTCAACTTAAATATTTTTTATATAATAATTAAAAAACCAATGCAACTAAGACAGATAGACTAAATAGAAATACTTTTTTTTACCCAGTTATCTTCCATATTGTGTTATCATAGTATCAGTACTGTACAAAAGATCATAATATTATCAATACTATCAGAGCTTAATTAATAGATATTAGACAACATCACATGTATTGCTCAGATCCCAAACCTATAACAATTATTACATCTAGACTTGAAATGACATACAAAAGTTTATTCAAAAGATATTTCAAAAGATATTATGATAGTTGATTATCTACAGGGAAAGCGAATTTTAATATTACTTAATAAATTTGATATAGTATTGCTTTTTTTTTCCAGATGAATCAGATAATGAATCAGTTAAGAAGCCTAAAAAAGGCAAAAAAAAGGAAGAGAAGAAAAGTGCCTTTGCTCTTCTAGAAATTGAAGATGAAGGTGACTCACCAGTCGAAGCACCACCTTCATCTGATGATGAGAAGCCTGTACAAAAATCACAGAAAAAATCTACACTGGAAAAAAAAGAGCCTGCCAGCAAAAAGGGTAAAAAAGCTAAAAGGAAAAAAGATGATAGTGATGATGATATTGAAAAGGTGCTAGCAGAACTTGAAATGGAATATTCTGGGGTAAAGAAAGAACCTACACCTACAGCTGATGTTGAAAAACCAGTAGAGGTTGTGGAAGAAAAACCCAAAACAAAGAAAAAGGGCAAGAAAGAAGACCAGAAAGAAGAACAAGAAAAAGACATAGAAGAAAAGGAAGGTAGTGATAATGAACAAGATGTAACTATCAAATCTGCTGCTCAAAAGAAAAAAGAAAAAAAGGAAAGAGAAAAGCAGAAGAAATTAGAAGCCAAGAAAAAAGAAAAGGAACAAGAGAAGAAAGGTCCTAGTGAAACAGCAGTCAAGGCTCCTGAGAAAACTGAAAGCAAAGAAGATAAAGAAGTTAAAGAGGAAGTAAAAGCTCCCTCTGAAGAAAAGGAAGCTGAAGGAGATGTTACAGCTACAGAAGGTAAGAAGAAAAAGAAGGGAGACAAGGGTGAAAAAGAGGATAAGACTAAGAAAGGACCTACTAAAAAGACTATAGCTGCCATGCAAGAAGCTCTTAAAAAGGTGAAAGAAGAAGAGGAGCGTCTAAAAAAAGAAGAAGAGGAAAGAATACGACAGGAGGAAGAACGTGAGCGTCAGAGATTAGAAGCTATTAGATTAGAAAAAGAACGTAAAGAAAGGAAAAAGCAAAAAGAAAAGGAGAGAAAAGAAAGACTTAAAGCTGAGGGTAAATTATTGACTCCTAAACAAAAAGCTGAGAAAGCCAGAGCTCAAGCTTTGTTGGAGTCATTGAAAGCTCAAGGTATTGAAATTGGTTCAGCTGAAAAGAAACCACCTAGACCTGGTACGAGGATTAAACCACAAAGGTTGAAGAGTCAAATGTCACAAGAAGCACCACCAACACCATCTGAGGAAAAAAAAATTGAACTTAAAATTGTAGATAAGAAGGTAAGTATTTCTATAAATATATTTTTTATTAAAGTGTGTATAACAAGATCTTCATCACAGCCCTTCACTAAGGATGGAAAGAAATCAAATTGCGATAATAGCCCATAAACCACCAAGAAGACCAAGTGCGGATTGGAGGTTCTTAACAACTGCAAATGCAGCTGGGACCAATGGCTAAACATCCTTTGAACCATTTTTTTTGTAACTCATCATAGACTGGGCTTCATGAATGTTGTCTAACCTCTGCATTGTTGACTTAACGCACATGCAGTTCCTTGATGTTTATTAGTATTAAATTATTAGCAGGAGGCTGCTCCTAAACCGGAAGAAAAGAAAAAAGAATCTGACGATGATTCAGTGAAAGATGCATGGGATGCTGAATCATCTGAGGAAGAAGCAGAACCTGAAAATGTGATACTAGAACCTGTAACACCAACCAAACAAGATAAGAGACCTGCATCGGAACAACAGAAAGGGAAAGAGGTAGAAAATATTTTTATAGTACAGTTAATTAACCTGCATAAAGCAGATTAATTTTTGTTCTTTCTGTTTTGATTTTGTTCTTCGTATAGACTTTGAATTATGAATATTATTGTTATTTCATTTCTCACTTTACTTAATGACTGGTTTTAGCAAGTAGAAGATGATGATAGTTCAGAAGAAGAAGAAGATAGCTCTGAAGAAGAATCTAGTTCTGAAGAAGACTCTGAAGATGACCAAATGACTGATGCACAAAAGAAAAGGGAGCTAGTTTTAAAGAGATTAGAGGTAAAAATATGTACTACTGAAGGTCTTTACGATTGTTATGCCACAATTAATTGAATATGAAATGTTATAAATAAACTTTACGACTTTTACATAATACATTCAAATTAAATTATTGTGACATGATTATTAAATTATTATTTTATGCTTTATTGTGTTTTAGAAACGTCGCGAAGAAAATGAAGCTAATAAAGGGAACAATCCTCTCCGCGCGGCAGTCGTTTGTGTGCTAGGTCATGTGGACACAGGCAAGACTAAGATCTTGGACAAACTACGAAGAACTAATGTACAGGATGGCGAGGCCGGTGGTATTACACAGCAGATTGGTGCAACCAATGTTCCTATTGAGAATATCAAGGAGCAAACCAAACATGTTAAAGGAGTAAGTTTATCTTTATATTTTGACCTTTTTATAATTAACCTTTTTATTTGACATTAAAATAAAAAGGTTAATTTTTATAATTTATTCTGGTTATACTATATAACAAAATGTTAAAGGAATTAGTATAATTAATAATTTTTGTATAAAAAAGCCTAGGAGCCAATTAAAAAGAGTAGAGGTTCCAGTGTAATAGTATCACCTCTCACCGTTTAAATCTTCCCTGGACTATGACAAACATTTGAAATTCTTTAATTTCTTCTCTTTTCAATTTTTACTGATTTCGTCACTCACAAACTTAAGTGTTCGTATCATCTGTATGCTGATGATTTACAGTAATACACTGAGGCAAGTATTGATGAATTACATAATGCTATTGATAGACTTAGTAGCTATAAAAATCTGGTCAAATAAATTTGGTGTCTGTTAATTCCTCAAAATCCCAAGCTATATTTTTGGGGGGCAACAAATTATGAAGAAGATTAACTTCAGTAATCATGGCTCCATTATGTATGATGGTAGTTCAACTCCTTTTAGCCCTAGTGTAAAAGACTAGGATTACTCAAGCTTCAAATGGCAAGCACAAATAAGCAGTGTTTGTCAAAAAGCGACTGTAATACTGCGAGCGCTTTATCGTCTTAAAAACTTTCTGCCAATCAATATTTAAGCTATGCTTGTGCAGACCTTAATATTTCCTATAATTGACTATGGTGATGTGTGCTATCTCGACTTGAATGCAGATCTACTAAATAAACTAGACCGACTCCTGAATAACTGCATTTGATTTGTTTTAATCTTAGAAAATATGATCATGTGTCCACATACCAATCTCACTTAAAAAAGATAACCATTCGGCAGCGTAGAAGTATGCGTTCTATTACTACTCTGTTTTCTTTACTAAACTCTTCAAATGCTGTCTTTTCTCATGTCTCATTTTCGGTAAATATGTTGTTATATTGTTCAACCTCAAATCTACGGCTCATGTGTCCATCGCACCACTCCGATACCGTCCATTCATCAATGAATTGATTCTGTTGTGGAATGAACTTCCGTTGGACATCAGAATATCCACCAACAAATATACATTTAAAAACAATCTGCATAGCTTTCTATTGGAACAGGTTTAACAAATAATAAAATGGCTTACATTTAAATAAGACACTAAGTACAATATATTTAGAATAAAAGCTGTTGTTATCCCAAATAAATAAAAAAAAAAAGAATTAGCCGTTAGTTGTTTACATTATATATGTACATTAGATATTATATTAGATTTTGTAGTTATGAAAGTATATATGTAAGTTTATGTATTTTGTTGTAGGTTTTATTTTCCTTATTTGTATCTCCACAATTGTGCACATTACCACCTCCACAATTGTGCACATCTTTTCTCCACATCAGCCATCTGGTTGACTGGTAGAAAATGCCTCAGATATTAAGTCTGCCAATGTAATTTGTACATGAAGTGTAAAATAAATAAATTACAAATGACAATTGATTTACATTCAAAGCATTTCAATAATTAATTTCAATATTTAATTAATATCCTAAATGTATTCTTTTCAGGTGAACGAAATAGCCTTTAAGTTACCAGGGCTTCTGATTATAGATACACCTGGCCACGAATCTTTCAGTAACTTGCGTAATAGAGGTTCATCATTATGTGATATTGCTATCCTAGTAAGAATATGTATTTTTTTTAATGCAATACAAATGTAAAAAATCTATCTTACCTCACATCTGTATTTAACTTGTGAAATTATTTTAGGTAGTCGATATTATGCACGGGCTAGAACCACAAACAATTGAATCTATTAACTTACTGAAGCAAAAGAAAACTCCTTTCCTTGTGGCTTTGAATAAGATAGACCGTCTGTATGACTGGCAGAGTGTTCAGCGTAAAGATGTGCGTGATATCCTCAAATTACAGCAGCCTAACACACAAATTGAATTCGAGAAGAGAAGTAAAGATGTTATGCTTCAGTTTGCTGAACAGGTATGTGTTCGTTTTATCGTGACTGCTCAAACAATTTAGTTGTTGTTGTAAATTGGTTGTTTTATTAATTGTTACAATTAGAGGATCTTGACAGTGCTCTGGCCACGAACTGACATAAGATTCTACAAAACGAAAGTTCATAAAGTTTTTTATTTTCATTTGAAAATAATATGTTTATATTGCAAAAGCTAGCAAAAATAGTCATAACTAAGAGATGGTGCTCTAATTAATGTTTGATTGGACATGCCGATTGAGAATGCCACATTCCTTATAATAATATCCTCCTCATAATATATTTTTCATAAACGGTAATGACGAATGTCACAAAAAAGGGTGGACCCCTGGAACTTTTTACGCCATGGATTCATAAGTTAAATGGCTTTTTTTTGGTGCAGGGTCTAAATGCAGCGTTGTTCTATGAAAATCCGGATCCGCGCACGTACGTATCGCTAGTGCCGACGTCCGCTGTGACCGGCGAGGGGATGGGCAACTTGCTGGCCATGATCGTGCAGGCCTGCGAGGGACCCCTGCACAAGAGACTAGTCTTCTCTAATCAACTGCTGGCCACCGTGCTCGAGGTAAATATACATTTGTCTGTTTGTTTGCATCGAATGGGCTCCGGTACTACTGAACTGTTTTAACAATTCTTTCATCTACGGATAGTTACATCATATGCGGTGGCTATGGTTTATCCCGAAAAATAACAAATAAATTGGATAAAAATGGGAGTGGAAGTTTGTATAGGGAACTAAAATGTTTCCATAGTAACCATTCACAATAGAGTAGCTCGGTGGCGTAGTGGATAGGCGATTGTTGTCGTTAAGCAACTTTCGCGAGGGTCGGTCACGGGATGGTTGACCAAAAAATTATTATCTCGAGCTACTCCGTGCTTCGGAAGGCACGTTAAGCCGTCGGTCCCGGCTGCATTTGCAGTCGTTAATACCCTCCAATCATTGGGCCAGTGTGAAGGGTCATAGCCCACCCTCCTTAACCATCCATAAGGAAGGCCTGAACCCCTGCAGTGGGGACATAAAAGGGCTGATGATGGTGATGAGTAACCATTGCTTACTATTCAATTTGACATTGTAATTATATCCATGTCTATATATGAAGCCTTATCCAAAAAGATTATTGAATTAAATTCTAAGCCTGGATTGACAATATGAGTTACTTTTTATCCTACTAAACAGTTCTCTAGGGACCATGCAGGTGAAGCAGCTAACGGAAAGAAAAAAGTTAATGTATGAAAGAATTGTATGCAGAAAGATAGTATGAAAAGAATACCGAGGACAGGTATGAATGATTATTTAATTTTAGGAGTGAAAATTATTTTAAAATGTGTATGTCGATCTCTACGTGAGTGGTAATAGCCGTGGCATACTGCCCTCTTGAAATTATACTATCTACAATATATTATAAGCCTTAATGCTATGTCTTCAAAATCAATCCCGTAAATTAGACATTTTGTGAACTTAATGTGCTACTCTACTGCCGAGAGTTAGCGAGTTATGAAAAATAATTAAAACATTTTTTTTTTATTTTGTTTTGCCCTGTTTATTGAAACTATTTTTTGTTCTTAATTGTTTATTTTTCGTAGGTGAAAGCCATTCCTGGCTTGGGTACAACGATCGACACTATTCTTATCAACGGAACCTTACGTGAAGGTGATACAATGGTGTTGGCCGGCACAGACGGACCTATCGTCACTCAAATACGATCTCTTCTTATGCCACAACCGATGAAAGAACTCAGAGTTAAGGTCAGTTAATAACAATATATAACTAAAAATCTCTTGTAACCTATGGTCCTCTCGTTCCTATTTCGAAGCTCTCAAATGTCATAATCAATAAAAAAATATATATATTAAAAATAATCTAATAAATCGTATGTTCGTAGCTTTTGTATTTTTCTGTTTACATTTTCAAATGTTATGTTTATTTTTTGTATCAAATTATGCATACTGCATAATAATAATGCGTACTGCATAATTTGTTACAAATAAAAATTCATGGTAATCAATTTAGCCGTTATTGAGTCAAAAATGGTGGAACTCCATCGCGATTTTCTGACGCTTGTTCATTTATGTCAAAGAAATAAATAATAAATTGTTTATTTAAAACAGAATGCGTATATTGAGCACAAAGAAGTAATTGGTGCGCAAGGAGTCAAGATTGCTGCAAAGGAATTAGAAAAAGCTATTGCTGGATTAAATCTATTAGTAGCTCAGAAACCGGATGAAGTTGATGTGCTCAAGTAAGTACTAGAATTAGTAAGAATCGTCTTAATGTTTATATGGGTAAAAATGTTTTAAAGTGTATTGATTATATATTTAATGTGGTATAGTGTTGTAATACTTTGATTACAACTAATCATTTTTATCCGTCTCGAAGGACCAACTTTTTTGTAATAAAATTATTAACTTTCACAAGCTTTTGCAACTGTCTTTTTTTACACTGAATATATTAGTTAGATTTGATTTTACTACCCTATTACTCATACAAATTAACATGGCACTGGATGAATCATTTTATTTCTCTGAAATTTCGTCTTATTTTTCAAATCATAATACTACTTAAAAAAACGAATTTTTGGATAAATGTTTATATGGGTAAAAATGTTTTAAAGTGTGTTAATTAAATATTTAATGTGGTATAGTGTTGTAATACTTTGATTACAACTAATTATTTTTATCCGTCTCGAAAGACCGACTTTTTGTGCGTAAATTATTAAATTTCACAAGCGTTTGCAACTGTCTTTTTTTACACTGAATATATTAGTTAGATTAGATTTTACTACCCTATTACTCATACAAATTAACATAGCACCGGAAGACCCATTTTATTTCTCAGAAATTTCATCTTATTTTTCAAATCATAGTACTACTTAAAAAAAACGAATTTTTGGATAATGCATGATACCGTGGAGGTAGGATCGGATGCAGCCTCTGATGTACAGATTATTTTCATGGAATTGATTGCAACAAAGTTGTAAGAACTCTTTGAAATTTTCGTTTGAGGACAAATTAAATAGGGGCATATCGTCATTTTAATTAATACGAGTTATAATATAATATATTGTGTTAGGGAGGAGGTTGCGCGGGAGTTGAAATCGGCGCTGTCTTCTATCAAGTTGTCTGAACGCGGTGTATACGTCCAAGCGTCCACACTGGGCTCGCTCGAGGCCTTACTAGAGTTCCTGAAAGTTAGCAAAATTCCTGTAAGTAACTGGTTTTTTCACTGATTCAATGATTGAAAGTTAACAAAATTCCTGTTAGCTATTGGTGTGTTCACCAAGTTATTAAAAATATTTTAAGCCCTTGCAGACTAGAGAAGGCTTCAAAATTGTTTTCTGCATTGATAAAACAATCCTGGTTTTAGACATTATCTGTTTTTTTTTTCAATAAATTCATACAACATTTTTTTATCCCATCAATAATGCTTTCAAAGTTAACAAAATAAAATATAAGCGATAAATATTTCAATTATTGAATAAGATAAGAACATTTAGAAATCTACTTAGAGTGATAGGTTTAAAAAATTACAAAATAACCTTACAACATTATTTTAAAAGCATATTAAATCACTTCCTTATATATAAAGTATAAATATATCTACAATATTTTCCTATTCCAAACATTATGATTCTCTTCATTGTTTATTATTTATTTTTGTCCACAGTACTCTGCAATCAGGATAGGTCCGGTTGTGAAACGAGACGTGATGAAAGCTTCGGCCATGTTGGAGCACGACTCGCAATACGCGACCATATTAGCTTTCGATGTCAAGGTGCGTACTGTAGCCTGAATATAAAATACTTGATGCCAATTAAGATTTATTATGATGCCTTAATTCACATTTCGTATTGGAAATTATCGTGTAAAAATAATCGACATAATTATGTATATCTTAATAGCTCTCCCCCACGCACAAATTCCTTTCCAGATTTTAAATATGTGTAATACAAATAAAATTGTTTTCATGTAAAATATTTTAGTGGTTTTTTTAACTGGTTAACTGACAAGGGGTTCTATTGTCACTATTTACACACTAAAAAGAAATAATTTCAAATGTCTAAACGACGTACTGTATACTAACAATAAGTTAGTACTGTCTAAAGAGGTCTTAACGTCTTTAATACTTTTCAACAGCAGTACTGCAGGCTGTTATTGTCCAATAAGACCACAGCACTTTAAAACTCCTATGTATTTCATTAGCTTTTATCACTTAGGACATTTTAAAGAAGTATCCTTATTACCTGCATAAGGACCTTTTTAGAACCTTTTTTAAAAAGCATTCCTCTTGGAACTTTTATCACAGATTGAGAGGGATGCTCAAGAGATGGCGGACAATCTAGGCGTCAAAATATTCTCAGCGGATATCATATACCATTTGTTCGATAAGTTCACTGCCTATCGTGAAGAGTTGAAACAGAAGAAGCGGGAGGAATTCAAACATATTGCAGTGTTCCCTTGTAAACTCAAGGTAAAGTATTCTGAAATGGTATCAGTAAAGCAAAAATGGTGTCACTTAATTTGTTTAAAATATTTTTAGTAACTTAGAGAGTTTTAATAATATTTAGGCAAAGACATTCTTTGCACAGGGCCTATGTAGCTTTTTTTGCACTTATGGTTTTGCAATTTAATGTTAGAATAGTTTATTTTATTATTAGCTTCCCGCCAGCGGCTAGGACCACATGATCCTGTATTAAATATATTAATCTTTCTTAAATCACTGTGTATTGATGAAAACTCCATTAAAATTCGTTGTGTAGTTTAAAAGATCTCAGAGTCCAGACAGCGGGAAGCGACTTTATTTTATATGTATAGATGTAAAAAATTTTTTGAAGCCTGTAGAATTATTCGATTTCTGTTACTTTTTTACTCAGATCCTACCGCAGTTCGTGTTTAACTCTCGTGATCCAATCGTTGCCGGCGTGATGGTGGAAGCAGGTATACTCAAGGAAGGAACGCCCATTTGCGTGCCGAGCAAAGAAGTGAGTGGTTATTTATCTTTTGAAAATAAATACATACATCTTTCATGAATTGATTGAATGATTCTTTTGAATACTTGAAAGAAAACAATAATCTAGATCTAATGTAATTTATAAATACACAGCAGTATATTAATATCTGCTGACAAATCATTTTAAACCAAATGGTGAATATTTTAAGGTTTAAATTGATTACACGCACGGTAGAGGGATGGCGACTGAGTAAACAAAAAAAAACTATTTTGTCCAACATATAGAAAAATATTAGAAACATATATTTTTTCTTTGATTTATACTAATTCTTTCTGTTTTTTTCATACTAGTAAAAAAAAAAAATTCTTTTTTTTCTTTATCATATCTCATTGTGCAAACACCTTTAGGATATTAATTTAGTAATACACAGTTGTTACTTATTATTCATATATATTTTGATTAATGTGTGTTGTGTTACCTAATAAATAAATAAACAAGAAATAGGCATAGGCGTTGAAGTTGAGGAGTGGGGGCTCGCAACGTCACAGTTTTGTAGAAAATGTACGAAAGCGTGACGTCATGCGACATTTCAACTCAATCTATAGCTGTCATTTATTGATTACACAAAAAATAAAAAAAATCGGTATTAAATATTCTTCAATAATCTACCTGACGGATAAACAAACAAAAATTAGTCGTCATCCATATTTGTTTGATTTGGATAATCTAATATACCTATATGATTGAACTCATGTGAGGGTGATCCTTATCCTAATATTTTTCCAAGCGATTGCTCATCTTATATATAAAGGCAGCCGTTGAGATTTTAAACAGTACGGTCGTTACTAATTAATACGTTCCTAGTACAAAAATGTTTAGATAGAATTGAAAATAAGTGTAAGTATTAAATTAGTATGGCAACAAAATCATGAGGTATGATGTAATTATCTCTATTTTCGACTCTTATCTAAATTGTATAAGGTTGATATAATTTCAATCTTATGGTTTACAAAGTGTTTTGTAAACCCTAGTGACTTTCAGCTCTATTAGAATGAGATACAGTCTATATTATTTTAAAAACTTGTATAATGAAATAATTAAATAGGTTAGTTTCGGCAGAGAAAAATGAGTCACGAAATTGCACAAAAAACTAAAATTTTAATCGTGATAAACGTATTTATTTTTTCGATATATTTGTTTTATAACTTTTTTTATTAAAAATATTACAAATATTATTTCGAACAAACTAGAATAGGATTACAGTATTTGAATGCACTAAATCAACATCTCATTTCAAACAGTTCGTGGAATTGGGCATAGTGACGTCGATCGAAGTGAACCATAAACAAGTGGAGACCGCTCGCAAGGGTCAGGAGGTGTGCATCAAGATCGAGCCGATACCCGGCGAGTCGCCCAAGATGTTCGGTCGACACTTCGACGAGACTGATTTCCTAGTCAGCAAGGTGAGTTCATATTATAATATATATAATGACTGGGTTAATATTATCCGTCAGTCAGATAATTGAAAAAATAAGTATAAGTATTTAAAAAAAAAATCAGTTTAACAAGAAATATCTTAGATAACCATTAAAGTTGTGGAGTGGGCGTTTGCTACGTACAGTTTTGTAGGAAATGTATAAAAGTGTTAAGTCATGTGACATTTTTACTCGATGTTTTGCCGTAATCTAATTATTGCATAAAAAATAATAAATTACATGTTTAATACTGTTCAACCTGACGGACAAACAAAAAAATTTAGTCATCATTACTATTACGTACCCATGCTAGTTAATCACTTAAAATGGTATGAATCAAAATGCAACTTTAATTCAGTCTAGGCTGTTACAAGCACTCGTGAATGTCGAAAACTACGCCATCGGTTCGCAAATATACGTCCTTGCATTGAAAAGAACCGACAAGAAGTTAATTAATTCATTGACTTTACAAAAATAATATTAATTGTCGATCAGCGAAAATATATTTAATGAGTTCGAGTACCATCTTGGGGTACCTGGGGCCGCTGCTTTTTTATATTCAGGCTTTTATGGAACATATTTTCTCTCTCTCTGACCGAGAACCGTTTCGCCTTTAAGAATAGAGAAGTCGTTAGTCGAAAATCTACCTGGCGAGTCGCACAAGATAACACTTCGACACTGATTTCATAGTCATCTGAGTTTCAACTATAATTTTTATGTAATTCTATCCATAGGCATGCAATATAATATACAGAGTACAGTTATATGAATCTGGAATATTTTTACCTTTTCCTTGTTTGTGCGTAAGGTTACGTTTGAAGTAAATAGGAAATACCTAGAGCTATGTAGCAAGGCAACGGCTAGTATTTTTCATAACCCGATTTCAGAAGTTTATAGCAAAATAAACGTGATGAGTCGTTTCTAATGATACCTCATTTGTTCAGTTACGATGAGTGGTGTCGAAGTTATAAGGGAACTGATGAACATTCTTACACACGTACATACCGGCCAAAATCATAACCCTCCTTTTCGCTTTGCTGTAGTCGGGAGAAAAAATAAATAAACCGCTATTGTTTAATAGCAGACGAAACATGCCTTTTTATAGTGTTTCCATTGTCTATGTGTTTTTATAACTTTTACAAAGTTTGACTACTGACTACAGTTATTGCTTGGTGAGCGCTCTCCTAATTTTAAATTAAGATATTTTTTATCAAGAAATTTTACACTGAGCCTCCTGAAAATGATTATCGATTGCGCTCGTACCACAAAGGTTCAATAATCACCATCTCACGATCTTGCTACAAAATAAAATAAAAAAAAATCTCGCGAAGCGACGTCACACTTTATAGAGGATCGTGTTCCAAGTCACGTGATATGCAGTGGATAAAACTCGACTTATAATTTTAACGTAATATGATAATTATTTTTGACACGAAATCAAAATATGTGTTTATTTCAATGTAAATTTAAGTTATTACTACCGAAACTACCCTATTCTAAAGTGCGATACCAGCTGATTGTGTAGATATTACATACTGTTAAGTTTATAATTATTAATTATTTCTTACCGACTTCGTTTGTGGGTTTTATTTATATCGGTTTCTTATAAGGGCGACAGGAAATATGTCACTATTTGAAGAACAAATTACGAAAGTTCAATGAATAATTTTACGAAAACTTCATTTAAAAATTTTTTACTGTTGGGTCATTATAAAAAGTCGCATTTGACATCTACTAATCTAGATTTGACAGTGAGGCCTCATTCTTAAAATTTTCAATTAACTTGACGAATCGATATGGTTTTCAAAGAATTTTGAATAGAATAAAGTTATTGTTTTAAAATAATATTAATTTTATGATTATTATCAATATATTACTTTGTGATATTGATTTATAAAATTATGTATTGTGTTGAATTTTAAAATGGCTTTTGGTGTAATGCGCCCTTTTAAATGTAACCAAGGTATTTTAAATACCATAACCAAGTCAAATATATACGAGTTTATTAAAGACTAGTTTTCCGCTAGCGGTTAAGCCCGCGTGGTCTTGTATTATACATAAAAACCTTCCTTTTGAATCACCCTATCTATGAAAAGAAACCGCATCAAAATCCGTTGCGTGGTTTTAAAGATTTAATCATAGGGATATAGGATATAAGAGAAAACGATTTTTATTTATACTATGTAGTGATTTCGATGGTGCAAGTGGTTAGAATTCCAACTCGGTTGCATTTCTTTATTTGTCAGTATTGTTTGTATTTAAAAGTTGTTTCAAATAGAGTATTTGACAACATTAAAAATATATTAAAAGTTGTGGTAATAATAAAGCATAATAAAATATATTTCACTTTATTTGAAACGAAATGATGTATAATTTTTGCAGATTACATAAAATAAAATAATTTTTTGACCGTGTTTAATGTTTAGGTGATAAAAATCAGAGACGAAATTTATTTAAATAATATTTTAGTGATTAGAATCCCAATCTGGTTATTTGTTCATGTTTTCATAAATAACTATCAAATCAAGTTTCGAGTAGACCAAACAATCTTTTAGATTTTTTGGATACACATAACACTGTAGCGGCGTTTATTTTGTTTAGAATTAAATATATTTATTACATTTAGAAAATTGATCGGTCAATGTAAAACGTAAAATTGCTTTAGTTTTATATATGACAATAATATATTTAAATAACAAAGATTATATATGCATTAGTATCGTTGTCGTAACTTTGAAAATAAAATAATATAATAATATGTTTACTACATTGCAAGGTTACTTTGAAGGCGAGACAGAGAGATGTCAAATGTGGGCTATTATAATGACCCAACAGTAGGCAACTTTTAAAATAAAATAAAAAATTGTTATATTCTCCAGTACTTTTTCTGGTGCAATGTTATCATTTCCACTGTTTAATGTTTTGCTTATCTACTATGACAGCCATAAAAAATTAATTAACATCGGTTCGGAAAAAAGTTTGTTTTTTGGTAAAATGCTCACTAACACCAGAAGCAACAAGAATCTGTATTCGACACCCTCGACAAGAACACTGAGAGATCAGTCTTCCGATTACCAAAACGTAGAAAAAAATATCATTAATATTTATGAAAAACAATATTTAAAAAATATAATCCTATATTAAGGTCTTATTTAAATACACGGATGTTCGTATGAGATGGCTCACACTCGTAAGTAATGAATGGTGGACGGGTACGCAGATATCGGGCCTATTTCTCGCGTAGACAAATGTCACAGATTGACACCCGCTAATAATAGCGAGATTGCGACCGCCGCGCTGTTTACTTACCACACCACCTAAACTGCAAATGTTTGCATTCGAAAATAGAACGGAAAAGGTGCGTTTCGTACGCTGTGTACGTTTTGTTGCATGTCGCGCAGGAAATAGACTGCTGCCGTCTATTTACCAGTAGGCACTCTCGCCAGTAGGTGTACGTTAATTTTTAAAATTTTCACTTGTAACATTATAGAATTCGCAATTTCCCACACATTAATTACGGGTTAAATTAAACGAATGCAATTGAATTAGTACACCAACAACACAATAAATATGTAATCTATAAATACCCGACCACCCATATAGTGAAAAGACATTGAAAGAGTTTCCGCTTCAAATATAATTGCAATTGAACATCTACATCGAGCACCGTGTTTAAAATTACACTGGCCTTGATAAAAGTTCGTAATAAAAACTCAAGACTTTTATAACGGTTGATAGTTCAATATGTGAAATTACTTACGCTATTCGCTACCAAGTGCGGAAGTCAGGCATTAGAACGGTTCCCTATCGATTTCCATAAAAAAATAAGGCATTATTAGACTTTTTTTGCTGTGCTTCGTTTCATCTGCTATGAAAAAATATTAATTCGTTAAAAAGTGCATATTGACTTTATATTTATTCCCACAATTATGAGCCAAATAAGAAAAAGATTCGATTTTAATGCATTTACTTTTAAACTCTATTTTCACAATTATTTCGAGTTTGACAGCTGCTCCGTAATTTTAACCGATTCATCGGTTCTTTCGTGTCTAGTAATATGCGAATGCATATTATGTAAAAAAAAATACCTAAAGGATAGTAATGCCAACATAAACTGTATGCTAAAAAACAATTATGGCAAAGTGTTTCATCTAATTTCGGTAGGTAAACAGTTATGCAAGTACTTCATAATAGCCAAAATTGGTGAAAAACTTCATATCGAATAATTATAAATCTATTAGACTGCTCGGCAGGGCTAAGAAGTTGTCGTGAAAGTGCCGAAAAAAAAATCACGTTTTCGAGCGCCTAACTCATTAGCCATAGGGTACGACATCGTATCGATGTTATGACATTTCATACTTCTTTGACTTGAACCTTCGGAAATAAATGTGAGTTTTCTCCTTTTTAATAATAGTTTGTTTGAAAGTTATTTATATGTCTAAAAATGCGGTTCGAGCCCAGCTTAATAATATGAAAATGAATATTACTCTAGTCTTTATGCACTCCAGATAACAAGTCAAGTTGGCGTACCGAGTTGATCCTGTTGCCACTAGATGTCACTTCACAACTCTACTAACTTATGCCGCTTCTTAAACTAAACTAAAAACAATAAAATAAATATTTTAGAGTAGCTCCCTCACAACAAACTTAATTATTTAGTGCTTTTACAGAGTTTTTACAGGAACCCTTCGTGCACTAATCCAACTCGCAATTGATCCGTTATTTAGTGGTAGCTGATAATGTTACAAGTTTTTGTAAAGTATTTATTCAAAATCAATGACGAGTACGTTATATATTCAATTCACGAGTAAGTATACAATAAGGGTCTTAGGCTATTGGAATAAGGTTCATAAATTGGGCGATTATACCGTAATAACGATCTATTCTATAACGATAATATTAAGACACTTCTCAAGTAACAAAATTCAGCGTAATAAAAGTTTCAATATTTTTTTTACGCTGATGTCGTAAACCCCAAATAGGCCCTAGTTTTATCGCTGATTTTTTTCTAAAAAACGTAACATAAATACTTTGAAATATTACAGAAATTTTTGGTTTTGTTGGACCGTTACTGTTATAGCACATCTAGGAAGATACAAAGGATATAATAGATCTTTTTTATCACTGTATGGTAACTAAATGGCAGTAGTTATAGATAATAATATTACTTTATCATATGCAGAGATAAGACAGCAAACAGATTTCTCAGGTGCATCCCGTACTATTTTAAAGTTAGTTCTAATTTGTGTATCCATGTTCCCGTTACGGCTCACAAGCCATTCATAAATATTGCGTCTCCTAAAACAAACGCTTCTTACGTATTCTCATCTACTTACTGATATACAATAAGCCCCGTCTTTGTCGGAACGTGACGGCTGACAAGCTTCGCTGCCGATGATGCAACCAGGCTTGAGCGTTCATTCATGAGTGCAAATCCGCAGCATGAATGCAAACCGGCAGTTGACATCAATGGCCCCTCCGCGCGGCGCCATTGATCGGTGTATAGAACGCGGAGAGGGGACAGCCAGGTCACTAGGTCGAGGGGAACTCTTGAAGCTCGGGGAGGGGGTGTGTGATGTTTCAGATTGGACTGGAATGAGATCAAGAATAAGCCCATATTAAATTAAAATATAATGTCTCGAAACTGCCAGAAATATATTCTTGAGATTAATTGGATAATAGAGCAATGGGATAATTGCCTTTTTTAAATCTTTCGCAATCCCTTTCAAAGGCAAGGTATAATGTTCAAAGGCATAGATAATCCTATTTATATTATAATCTCTATTACGGTTGATCGAGATTTGGCCCTCGATATTACGTTTCATTACAGTTTATTTTTGCTCTTAATGAGTAATATAATATTTGCTGAAGATAACCTGTAATTGGCTTCAATTATAGACATATTGACATACGATATTTTTTCTAGATAAACAAATAGCAGTACAAATAACATACGTGTGTTTAATGAAAGGAAACATACGTTTGGTAGGAAAATTAGATATCAAATTAATTGGGCTGTACCAGCAGATCAATGATTTTTGAAGAGTTACATGTGTGTGTGTGTGTGTGTGTGTGTGCATTCGTTGTGTTGTGTTAAAAAAATAGAAGACGCATTGTGCGAACATGCCGGTCTTAACATTATATAAAAGTGTTAATGCGTGAACTCGCATTTTCCGTCAACCGTGCGAAGGCCGCGATATTTTGGGAATAATGACGTCACGCATTTCACACGCGCTCTAGTGCTCGTCTTGTTAGTGTATCCGAAATCAGAACGAAACAACCCTTCCGATATTTTAATCTGACGCATTTTCAAGGGCGTGGCCAGGATAATAATGGAATGAATACTTACTGAGTAAAATGTTTTAAATAAACAAACCTTTGTGATTTATCAACAATATTATTTTCTTGTACTATATTCCTTCGGTTCGTTCAAGGGCAATAGAACGTACACCGCATCGTGCCGTTCGCTTCCACTAGTACACCTGAGTATTCTAATTGTCCTCGCACGAAAATTCGGAAAATTTCGAATTTCTCGGCATTAAAACCCATATTCTGTCCATCAGTTTTAGGAGTTATATAGGCACTCTATGATTTGCTATCGTAACACCAGAATAGTTTCGTTATTATGATAAATTACTTGTAGGTCTTTGTTATACGTACGTACCAACAAATATACTAATTTAAATATATGGTTATCATCAAATGGATAGAGCTCCATCGTTTTATTCGTCAACATTAAGGCCACCCTAGCCAATCGTTTGTGCAATTATTACTCTTGTTATGTAGTGCAAAAGTAGATTCTTCCGCGGCATGTCGTGCTGTGGCACAACACAGCCGTAGTTAGCGGTTGCACACAAACGCGCTGACCCGGTCAGACCCCATTCTAGACGCTCCATTGATATTTTGCAGTGCGGTTCATTGATGGAATTTTTGATTCTGCTGGGGAAGGGATATAATAGTTATTTTTTGCACAATACCACAAACTACATAATAAGAATTTGTATACATAATTCAAATTTGTATTACTTCTTTTTTTTTAAATATAACATGTAGGTAATGCAAACTGTAGTCTCAAAGCATTAAGGTTTATAAATCAAATGGAGAGATTTGACTTAATCATAATTCGGTACTGAATTCTTAAGTTTTAAGTTTACAGCATAAAGTATATTTTTATGGTGCCGCATCTCAAAAAGAAAAAAAAAGGAATTCTTATAGGGTCACTTTGTTGCCTGTTTGTTTGTCTGTTAAAACCCTTTATTTCGGAAACGCGAAGAGATATTGAGTTGAAAAAGACATCACGGTCATTGTACTAAACTGTTAATATCCCCTGGAGAATAGGATCATATACATATTTTAAATGTAATTAACAAATAGTTTGTAGTCTATAGAAACTACCTATTAATTAAAATGACCACCCGCATTGAATAATCATTAGATGCATTGCAAATTGACTTCTAAGTTACTGAAACGGACACAATATTCACTTTATTAAGGAATCTTTTTGTGTCTTGAAGTTCAAAGTAATTTTAAAGCAACTTTCAAAGCACTAGAAGAGTTTAGTCTCTAATGTAATTGCATTGATCTGGATATGCGCAGCCTTCGCAGTTTCTATTATACAATTTTCTTAAGCTTTTATCGCGCTAAAAATATCTTTCGAACATCCGTTCCTCTGTGCGGCTCTTAATATGATTTCCGAGTTCCGAGGGCTGCGTTAGCAACGGCCTCCTGAGGCACCGCTGCAGCGGGCGACGGGGGTACCTGACCTACTTCCATGCTTGCACCACCCATGTTCTATTTTCTCAATGACGTCATAACCTCCATTCACCCCGAGGTGCTGAATCGATGCGCCCCAAACTGTGTCGACCTGAATGAACCACTCGAGTACATTGAGGCAGCTATTTTTAGGTGTCCCCGGCCTGGTCCCAGGCTTTAGAACCAGTTTTTGCGGATGTGTCGTTCGGCCGCAATTAAATTCTGTGAGCCATGAATTAATTTATGACACTTCGATGGTCTTCGCAATTTGTATCAAATTGAATTTCACTACGTATCCGATGTGTGGTTGTCCTTATTGCTTCGTTTCTGTTATTTATAACGACGTTTGAATGTAAAAACTTGCTTGTAGCAATTTAATTTTGTTTCTTTTCTTATTCTCGCAAGCGGCTGGATATTTTATTCATATATCTGTTGATTTGTTTATTTTTTTCTCAACCCACTTGTATTCTGTGACAGGTATGAATGAATAGGAAATAAAAAGACGAGGCAGGTGAACGGAGTCTTTGCCAAATTAGGATTATTATTAAGTTTAACTTAACGCTAACCTTCGAGTGATTGTTTTTTTTTCATTGTTGCAGATATCTCGAGCGAGCATCGACGCTTGCAAGGATTACTTCCGCGACGACCTCATAAAAACCGACTGGCAACTTATGGTGGAACTGAAAAAACTCTTCCAAATCCTGTAACCCACCTTCCGATTGTCATCCTCACCCGTCAAAAAGACTTCATACTACTCTCTGTCTGTTCCATCTAACGTTATTCGCAGTTCTATAATAGAATCTCATGGTAGTTTCTTTTAAGCATGCGTTTTAAGTATTTCTATTCGTAGAAAGCCTATAACTTTCATTTTAATATTGCAAAATATATCACCAACTATTTGCCATGTTTCTGTATTTCTGTTTCTTTGTTTTAGTTGTTTAAAAATAAATTTGTTTTTAACTTATTATGCAGTTGTATCATGAGATATTGTAAATAGTATTATTATTATACATTTATTTATTACAGAGGGTTCCATTGTGTTTCAACCTTTAGTATCTTTATGTTTGGACCTTTGAGGACAGAGAGGCGTGCAGGTGTTATCTCGAATATACCCTTATTCATAATACGTGTTCGATGCAATTATAGGTTACAGCGCTTGTGAATATTCACCAGAATTATTAGGAGAAAGTTTGTAAAGAATATTATATTATCACCGAGTCATCTGTAAATATTCATATGGGTTATTTACAAAATTTATAGTTGCATGTAAATAATAAAGCAACTTGCCACTTTTAACATGAACAGTGCAATAAACGATCTCGTTGAGTAATGAATGTGTCTTTGTAGAGCAATGTCTGTTTTCTACGGTGCTTCTAATGTAGTTTACATATACTGATGTATTCTATGTGTATCAACGTAGTTGTAATACAAATTATATAAATTATAGTAGATTTTTTTCGACATGAGGCACTGTGATGTGTTTGGAGGTCGTATATTGTACTCGGCTGATACCTAGTGACATCACGTATCCTTGTGTTTCGATGTCGGTGGGTGGATGCAGCGACGGCACGGACAAAGGTCCTTAGTCCTTATTGAAGGTACAGAAGGTTGTATTTTATATGTAGGTATTTTTCCCTTTTTGAAATGCTTTGTATTATATAGATGGAATCGGACATTATTCTTATATTGAAGAAATTTTATTAAATTACTCAAATAATTTTTGTTGTTTTATTTATTGTTCATCGGCTTAGTTTCTAGATGTTTTGATAATTTTTGGTTATGATAACAATTATGTTACTTGAATTGTGCCATAGATTCTAGACGAAAGCCCTTATCTATGGTACCTATTAATAACTAATGTTGAGCATTGAAATACTGAAGAAGTTGATGCTATACTACTAAACAAGAAATGAGGCACATATAGCCCATATCAGTTACATTAGTTGAGATTAATGTTAGCAATTGACGAATGCAAACTTTGCGGTGCGTTAACTATTCTAGGTTGCTCGCAACTACTGCGACTGTATCGACTACGAGTACAATCTTAATAATAATAATATGCTTTATTGGAAACAACACAGGACAAAATAATAATTACACGGCGAGAAAATGAAATAGTGTGCAGAAGGTAGCAATGTATTCCAGGCAACCTATAAAGGAAAATAAATAAATAATAGTTTATAATAATTAACTCCTAACTCCTCTAGCTATAACTCGAGTCATAGGAGACGACATCTTAGCGATATTATAGCACTATTTCGTGTCATTTTACTACTTTGGCATATCCTATAATAACGACGTAAGATTGATAAAAAACGACGACAATGGATTTGACAGCGGTCTATACAACTTAGAAATTAATCCACCAAAAGATATGTTAAAGTAGTTAAATGGAACGAAATATATCGTCATAACATTCGCATATATGTCGTATCCAATGGCTAGAATCATATCTATTAAGTTAGCGGTCGCTCTGCAGGCCCTAAGTACGCGATTTTAAGCTTGTCCCAGGATAGAAATGCATATGTGATCTTGATGTGTTGAGATTTCGATTGAAACTTATTAGTTTCATATAATTGGTATGGTCAAAGACACTTGCATGTCGTGTTGTATCGAGTTTTCATTTTAAAGTATGAAACAATAACAACAACGGCGCAATTACACACACTATTATGTGTTTCCGCCTTTAAAGCTTTATTTCCATGGTTAATACCTACCCGTGATTTAAGGATATCGGAAGGGAAGAACAGTCAAGTTGAAGCCACTTACTAATCCGCGTTTTGACTAGCCGTTGGGTGGGTCCGTGTGGATAGAAAGTCCCACACACCCCCTGTCGCTTGTCAAGCGGCGGGGACGGGGTCTATACCATTCCGCATACGACAAAAAAAAATTCAAAATGCACGATGCGTCCGCCGCCGGTTGCTTGTCGGGCCATAGTAAGGTTGCTTGTCAGGCCATAGTGTCTGCGGACGGCGAATCAACCGTAGGTTACAAGTGAAAAAACGTGCATTTACATTCAATACCACGTCCGGTTATACGAATCTATTAAATTTTAAATCTTAATGCCTTGAGGGTAAATTTTGGAAGTTGATTGCGAAAATTTTCTGATAACCCGACGTTTTACTTTATATAAAAAATATGTAAGACTACATTTAGGCCAAAACTCGCGATTTTAACCCATGTTAAAAGTTAGGAAGAAGTGAATTATGATACGTCGTAGCTGGCAACGGTATGAGTATTATATTTGCCTATACGTAAGTAATTAAAGTCTCAAATAGCCAAAAGTGACTAAACTGGGTCATCTGCTATACACAATGCTTCTAACCCTTATCTATATCTTCATAAAAACAAACCTTGGATATTTTTGGGAAAAGCAAGAAATCGTATAGCTATATTATACAATTTAATCTCAACTCAGTCAGAAACTAAAAATAACTTTGAAGAAGATTGCGAGGTGTTAGCTTATACCACGCTGAAACATCGTATGGTGCGAAAAGATTCAAGTTGGAAAATTTTCCAAAACGTGTGTTTCATTCTGTGCTTCAATTCTTTAATGTTAACGCAACTATGGCGTTTCAATTAAATCTCTTTTTATTAGATTGTATAACTATCAAAATATTGTGGACAGAAATTATTATTTATTATTATTATTAACACAGTACTTATTATTAGTCTATAAAATAAAAATGTCAGAAAACTCTAGCTTAACAATAATATTGTGTCTCATATAGATAATAATGCAATTAATTGAAACTATTGAGATGCCATTATTAAAATAGCATTATTGTAGACAACATAAATAAACTTTTAAAAAAATTGTATCATAATCCCAGCGGAGCGACCTCCTAGCTCCTCTATCATATGGCTAGCTATACCTCTAGCAATAGGATATGACATCGTAGCGATTTTGAAGCACTATTTCGTTTCATTTTTCTACTTTGACGTTTACCTTAATATCCAAAATCTAATGATAAAGTATGATGAATATGGATTTGACAGCAGAGTTTCCAAGTTAGCGATTTATCCTAAAATCGAAAATTTCAAAGTAAAATAAAACGAAATATAGTCATAATATCCGCTAAGATACCGTATCCCATGGCTAGAGATATGGCTGGAGATTGAGGAGGTAGGGAAGTAGATACGAAATACAAACACAGTGAAATTAATTACACACACTAAATGACAGAGAGGTAAATTAAGTATTACCTACTTAAAATATTTTATTATCTCTACCAAACAATAAGATTTCTTTAATATCAAATACCCAAATCTATTGAAAGTTATGGAATGCCAACCTACCTACTAATAACTGTGAACGATTTTATCTTATTAATAAAACTAATTTATTAATCGATGTTGTAATTAATATAAGGTATTTTCATTACAATTTAAAGAGGTTATTAGTGGTGATGCTATCAGTCCTCGTTCGTTGATTACGAGTGACATTAACAATTAGTATTACTTATCTATATTTTTCTATTTTTACTTGATCGATCTATTATATGGTCTGGGGAGCGCATTCCGTAATATTCCGAAGCCGAATCCGGATTCACTCATGTGTCCGAATCCACGTAATTTAGTGTATAAATTCTATTGATTCCATTTTTTGTCAAAACAAAATTGGTTGATGAAACGTGTCTTAGATGTTCTATAATTATGTCATTTCGAAACTCACTTATGCCGCAAAACGTTATTATCAATTCAAGATTGAGCGGAAGCCGCTTTTGAAATTAATTCGGACACCTGAATGAATTCGAATTCGGGTTCGGATTTTGACAGAATTATAATTCATTTAAAATCGAGTAGCATATTCGAGACCCTTTGATTTCAGTCTCAATGTCACACAGCGGGCAATGCTTAGCACTTCTCTACGTGATCGAATTAGGAATGACGAGGTCCGTAGGTGAACCAACGTTACTGACATTGCTCGAAAGATTGTACAGATGAAGTGGCAGAGGCCGGGACACATGGCTAAAAGTACCGAATGCCGCTGGTGCAGAAAAGTTTTGGAATGGTGACCATGCACCAGATGATGCTCAGTGAGTAGGCCTCTAACAGGTGGGCAGGGACGGTGGCAGCGCAGGACTGATTGGCGCTTGGTAGATGATGATGAATGATGATGAGGGTGTATTTAGAGTCAAATATTTTATGAAAGTGCTTTTCTTTCAGAAAACATTCCTATTTCATTTACTACTGCTAATATTTTATAATATGAGGTCGAGATCATCAAGAAAAATAAATTAGGTAAGGATGGAATATTATTCAACCAAAGTTGAATTTTGACAAGTCACAAAATTTTTATTTTAGAATATTATACTTAGAACTATGTGTGACTTTAAAAAATATAAAGAAATAAATCGATTGATTACATATAGGCACAGATACAGACATACTATAAGCCTTTTCGATCACATCACAATTAAGTTTATCAAAATAAATAAAGTTGTAAACAGGGATTAATCCTAGTTACTTATATCCTAATTATCTTTAAATCCAGTACCTAATTATCTTTAAATGAGGAATGTCAATTTTATAAGGAATAAAGCTTTTACAATTTATAACATGCACTAAATAATCGTGTTAATAAAATATGAATGATTGGATATAGAAAAAAATGGCTTGGATATGGACTAGAGAATTTACTCCTAACTACTACTTTAAATATGATTTAATTATGTTCTAGTAACACAACCTAAGTATATTAGATAATTATATAACATGGTTTAAATGGTAAAATCCTCGCCCACCTATGTTGGTAGTGTTTGTCGTCAATAATTCGGATGGAAGGTCGTCATTTCTCATACCATGCCAGCGGAAGACCAATGCCGAGCCAGCAGCTCTACCGATTGGGCGGAACATTCCAAGTACCTAACGCGCCTTCTTGCTGCGCTTCCGCGTTTGTTATGCAATGAAACAGAAAAAAAAACTATTCTCTGAATGAAAGTAAGAAAATTAAGCTTACCATACCTCACACGGAAGGATGTCATTGTTAAAAACGTTTGAGGAATCACTTGTTTCTATTGTTTTTTGTTGTTTTTTTGGATGCATTTGTCGGTCGTAGCTATGGTTACTTGGTGTGTGTGGGCGAGAAGGTGGCGTTTTCAGGGTCTAGGTTACGCCCCGGAGAATAGGGCGCATGCGCGGGCCTCGGAGCTCGGAGCCCGGCACATTTCCTCATACGAACCGGTCGGTCTACTCGCCATGGAACAGTGCTAAGATGTACTTGTGACCTAATTGTTAATTTAAAATTTAAATGCACCGCAGTCTAGTGAAAAGGTGACATCTGCTAATCGAGTGGACATTAAAACTCTGAGCAAATACCAATTTTAATGTAACGGAAAAAAGAATCGTTTTCCTAAAAACTATTTCTAAAGTGCGGAAGTGAAACAAGCATTTAAAAATATCAAAATAGGTGAACCTTGTGAAATACTTAGCGAACATTACGTAAGTGTTGAAAATAATTAGTTTGACCGTAGATAGTTTTGTTAATAAATATAAAATACACTTAATTTTAATAATTACATAAACTAGTGTTGTCTTTAAAACTTCTGTGATACATTTTGATTAACAAAAATGCCTCTGAGCATAAACTTGTGCTTTGTTAGTTAGATAAAAAAGATAATTGTAGTTATTTTACATATAACTTATTTGTGGGATATTTTTATAGCAAAAAAGTATCCAATTGTTTTTCGTTTGATAAAAAAATTGTGA